GTGCATATTTTCTTCTTTAATTTATTATTGCAGTAAATTACAATAATAGGTTTGCTAATGCTGAGCCTTCTTACATTCCTGGGATTAAACCCTATGGAGTCATATTCCTTTAATATACTGCTGGATTCAACTTGTTAAAATTTTATTGAGAGAGTTTGTTCCTACAGGTCCCAAGTTATATCGGCTCATAGTTTTATCTTCTTGTGCTCTCCTGTTTTGGTTTCAGCGTAGGTTTAAACTTTTAAAAAATAAGTTGAGTAGCTTTCCATCTATTTCTATGCTCTGGAACCATTTGTAAAAGGTGGAAATGACCTATTCCTTAAAGGTTTGGTACAATACATCCTAATAACCACATGGAAGTTCCTTAACGCTAAATGTTTAGTTACTTTTTAATTTCTTTGATCATTACTGTTGGAATTTTAGGAGGCCATTAGTAATGCTCTTATCTTTCCCTCCTGAGTTTTCGTCTTCTTTCATTGGCAACTCCTCCTCCTTTGTGTATCATCCTAGAATCACAGATGGGCAGTTTAATTTTTATGCCTTAAAATCTCTAAAATAGATCAGAGCAATACATTAAATTAATCCCAAGCCTGGTGGTCCCTAAGCCAAAAACTCATCTTGATTCCTCTCTCTAATGAAGAACATTCCAATATAGCTGGCCAAAGGTTATGCAATCAAATAAATGATCAACAGAGTAATACTCCAAATTTAAAATCACACCCCCCCCCCATTATCAAATTGCTAGGGAAAAATTTAAACCCAAAGTTTAAAGAACCTTACCTTCGTAGGTTAAAATTTAAAGATACCAACATCAAAACTTCTTTGATTAAACTCCATAGACAATTCCTGCAATTTTGAATTCTGCTCGGTCTCAACTAGCAGGGTACTCCAAAGCCCAAGCAGAGTCAGGGTTCCTTCAGCAGTTACAGCCTGGGCAGTCTTCCACTGAAATTATTCTAGTTCCTTCAGGTCTGAGAAATCCAATTAGTTTAACACAACATGTTTTCCACTTGAGTCCAAAGAGGTAACAGAACACTCAAGATTATCCCAGTTCCAGTCCCATATCAGCTCCATTGAGAAAACAAGTCATTCGGCAGCCCTTAGAAGAGTTACACCAGGTACTTGGAACACGAACCCACGAGAAATACTGTTCCAAATACTAATGCTTAATCTTTTATACCCATGTAGCAGTTTCCCAACATCAGAGCAGAGAGTCAGCAGTATCCAAGAAAGGGAAGGCTGCCTCATCAGAATGGCCATCAAACAAACCACCCCAACACTCCCCAACACTCAAGTATCTTTTTTTTTTTAACATATCTTTATTGATTTCAGAGAGGGGAAAGGAGGGGGAGAGAGAGAGATAGAAACATCAATGATGAGAGAGTCATTGATCAGCTGCCTCGAGCCCACAACCCGGGCATGTGCCCTGACCGGGAATCGAACCCTGATCTCCTGGATCCTAGGTCGATGCTCAACCGCTGAGCCACGCCCGGCTGGGCAAGACTCAAGTACCTTAAGACAAAAAGCATGTATTTAGTATGTGAGCCTGAAAGGCAATGATGTAGGCTGAGTTTGCCTGAGTTCTAGCATGTCTGGTATGGCAAACTCAGAATTAAGGGGCAGAAAAAAGCTTCACCTCTTCCTGGGATGCTCTAAAGTCACCTTGCAAATGGCACGGTTACCACGAGGAGTAAAGAACTGGGGCTGTTAACACAATCCCTTTATTTTACTCTCCCACCCTAAGGTAATCACACAATCTGGACCAGGCACATTTCAGGGCTCAGTAACCACCTGTGGCCTGTGGCTAGAGGTTACCATATTAAATAGTACAGTTTAGTGTCCCCGGCCTCCTTTCAATTCCTCAAACCTGCCAGCCATTCTCCTTCCCTGGGGCCTTTGCACTTGTCTTTCCCTCTGACCGAAACACTCTTCTTCTAGATGTCCACATAGATCACTCCCTTACCTCCTTCCGTTCAAATGCCACCTTTTCAATGGTGACTCCTCTGTCTACCCTTCTTAAAATTGCAACCCCCACTCCTGAGCACTTTCTAATTATCCTCCCTGTCACATTTTTTTCATGGTTATTTAGTGCTATGTGGTATATTTTAATTATTTGTTTCTTATCTGTCTTCTACTATAATGTAAGCTCCATAGGACTGGTATTTTTTGCCTGTTTAGTTTACTGTTGTGTCCCCAGTTCCTAGAGCAATGCCTGGTACATAGTAGGCACTCAACAAATATTTGTTGAATAAACTCTCTTTCCATGCCTTTTCTGCAAATATTAAATAAAGAAATGAATCCATTAGAATCTGATACAATAAATTATGATTGTATCAAGCTTATGGAGGAGAACCCCAAGAATGTCAAAGAACAGATTTACCCTCATGAAAAGTCCCATTTCCAGAACCTCCTTAACATGAGCGATCAGAAGCGGGATTTTGAAACCATAATTAGTCAGTTGAAAGAAAGATATCCAGAATAGCCCAATCCAAGCCCAAATTCACTCATTACTGTCCTTGTCTTATGGCTAGAAGATAATGTTTAAAGGTAGTTTGCTCTCTCCATTTTTCTTTCCCACTAGCAAAAATGTTAATGGTTGTTATCTGGTTTATCTTATATATAGTTATCTCTAAGGTCTACCCTGCATCTTTGTTTCAGAGTCTTTCTAATACTTGGGTTTCTAATAGTAAAAGAAATGCAGCACTCTTAATTTCTACTTGTCTGATTGGTCAGCAAGTCTCCCATTGTTTTTGTTGTCTTACTGGCAACTTGGTGTCTATTTATTTATTTATTTATTTAAAATATATCTTTATTGATTTCAGAGAGAGGAAGGGAGAGGGAGAGAGAGAGAAACATCAATGATGAGAGAGTCATTGGTCGGCTGCCTCCTGCACGCCCCAGGCTGGGAATCAAGCCCACAACCCAGGCATGTTCCCTGAGCGGGAATCGAACCTGGATCTCCTAGATCCTAGGTTGATGCTCAACCGCTGAGCCACGCCCAGCTGGGCCTTGGTGTCTTTTTAAAGTGGCAAGTCACCCTAGGTTAGCTCCTCACCCAACCTCTGGACAGCCAATTGTTGTACATCTCCAAATAAATAGATATGTGAGTCAATAAGCATAGCTTAGACTATACCAGTTTGGCTTGCATTTATTGAGCACCTCATGTATGCTAGGTATTGTGCTATGTCATATAGCACTAAATGAGGTAGACATGGGTCTTGTCCCCAAAACTTAAAAGTTTCTGCTTGGCACGCCAAAAAATGAAACAATTACTTACAATAAAGACAAGAATGATGAGAGAGCATACAGTGGACCTAATCTAGTCTGGGGAACAAGGTTAGGATGCTTCAATTTTTGGTGATCCTGACATCATTTTTTAAAAATTGACTTTTTCAGGTATTTTTATATATAATAAAACTCACACATTTTAAGTGTATTATATATTTTGACAAATACGGTATATATACAGTTGTGTAACCACTACCACAATCAAGGTAATTTCCATCATCCCTAAATTCCCTTGTGACCCTTTGCAGGCAATCTCACCCCCCTCCCAATCATCTCTGGTTCCTGATAATCTGCTTTCTAGTACTATTTTACCTTTTCTATAATTTCATATACATGACACACATAATATGTAGTCTTTTGTGGCTTCTTTCATTTAGCTTAATGCTTTTGAGATTCATCCATGTATCAAGATCTTGTTCTTTTTTATTGCTGAGTAGTATTCCACTGTGTAGATATACTCTGATTTGTTCATTCGTTCACCTGTTGATGGACATTTGGATTATTTCCAGTTTGTGGCTATTACAGATAAAGTTTTTATGAACATTTGCTTATAAGCCTTTGCACATATATTTTAATTTTCTCTTGGGTGTAATTATTGAATTGCAGGGTATAAGAAATTGCTAAATTATGGTTATTGGATATCCAATCCCAATTCCTCCTGGCTAACACTGCCATCTGGGGACTAGATCCCATATTTCGAAAATCGTGGGCTTGGTTGGACGCAGGCTTCCGGCGGAGGCGAATTCTTGGAAGACTGAAACCCGGCGCCTCCGCTGCTTCCGAGGCTCAGCTGAACCTACTCCCCGAGTACACGCCGGCCCTGGTCGCCTAGCAACCGGGTCGATCGCTCGGCGTTCCACGCGGTCCGGCCAGGCTGAGACGCGCCCCGCCCC